CTGCACTGCAAGGTGAAAATAGGCAACCGCTGTGAGTCTTTATATATAGACCAAATCAAAAACAACACCATCGTTCTTTTTTTTCTGGGGGGGGGTTGATGAAGGAAACCAACAACGATAAATAAGCAATAAGTCAATGAAAACCAAAAAGCAATCTTTCAGGCCAAAACCTAAATTATCCTGAGAGTTGCTTTTTTTTTTTATGTTTTGGGTTTTGGTTTTGGCTGCCTACAAGAAGAATATAAATAGACAAGGTATAGAACACATACAAATGAGGTGCAGACGTCGTTGCGCATAGCAATTCTTTTTTATATATATGTTTTTTGTTCAATCATGCAGAATTTGGGAATTTGTGCATGATCAATGTCGGTACCTCAGAAACGGTTTAACACTTTTCAATATTCACACAAAATATATCAAACATCAGCAAAAAGCACTGCAAAGGCACTGAACAGAACATGAGCAGTAGCTCCGGGGGGGGTTACCATATATATACTGTATATACACCTTCAGCCCTTCAGCCCTTCTCCCTTCTCGCTCACCCATGGACTCCGACCTGCGGCGGAGCCAAACGAGGCTGGCGAACTTCTTCCACGCACTGCCAGAGCCAAAGCGTCGTGTGGAGGTAGGATCGCTTTCCGATGCAACCGCGCGGAGCAGCGCGCGGAGCAGCGCGCTATGACCGGAGTGGTTTGATTGAGCCAGAAATTGGACGCGTGGGTCTGGAGAAATATTCAAGTCGGTTTTCGATGCAACCGTGCAAGATCAACCCACAATTCAACATCATAGAGGACTTTATGCTTGTTTGCGCTTGTGGAACATGGTGGAACACTTCGTCGTCCCAGGGCCCGGCCACCCCGAGCGAGGCCTGTTATCACTTTTGGCGCCTGAACGACACCAGCAGCTTGTTGCGATGCATCACCGAGTGGACCATGTTCGAGTGGCTTGGGTGATAGACCGGTTGTGAGCGACACGAGGACATCGGTGTGGGTGTTCGGACGTGAGGGATAATGGAACAAGTGAATGACGAAGAATGACTGAGCAAATGACATTTGTCCACCAGAAATCTGCACATATCTGCACCTATAGTATGCATTGAACCTCCTGGATGTTGCAGATTTGAATCTGCTCGCAAGTGCATCAGGCAAATTTGGGATCTCCACTCTCGCATTGGCAACCGTAGTAGGGCCCAAATTCACAGGGATGCAGGTTGAAATATATTTATGTGTGTTGTGGGGTTGATGCAGCATCCTCCATCCTCAGCCGCAGCTCGGACGGAGTTGGAGGGAGAAGATGTAGATGTTGCACGGAAAAACAGACACACACACACACACAACAAAGCAAACACACGTCCCATCCTATCCAACCTCCAAAAATCGCATCCTATCCAACAAAAACCATACCCCCTTTCAACTGTTGGCACCCCTTGTCCTATCCCTCTTGGATGAAGCGTTCGTTTCCCACTCTCTCGTCGTGTCTTGGACCTTCTCGACTTCTCGACCCACCTGGGAACCCTCCGCCGCCTGCGCCGAGGACCTTGGAGCGCGCTCATCGCCCCGTCACTCCGTTTGAGAGCGGAGACGGGGAGACACCGACCGGGTGACCGGTGACCGGTGTCTTCCGGGTGTGGATTGGAAGCACGGGAGGCCCCTGGGGCCCTTGGGTCCAAGCAGCCTGGTCTGCCTACTTTGATACGAAAACCCATGGGTGGTTGCCCAATTAAGAGGATTGGTTCAAGTTGGTTTACCTTTAGAAAGGTGGTGACACTTCAAGAGACTGTATTTAAGATGGATATGGCCGGCCGTTGATGCTCCCCTTGTTTCGATGAGCCATGAGAAGATTCTGCTCATGTTTTGGGCCAAGGGGTTTGAAAAAAACAAAAGAACTGGAACCATAAGCATCCACAAGAAGTATAACGACACAAAGCATACTCAAGGGCGAGGTCACTGCGTGCGTTTTTGTTTTTGTTGCTTTTTGTTCTGAGTCCACGAACGTGCACCGTAAGGCATAGAGATGGTTGATCATCCAGGTACGGGTTTGATTCATCAACAGTCAACATATGTCAACATGCTTGGCGAATACTGGTTTCCGTTGGACTCTGCCGTTTGACTACTCACGACGCTTCGTGTTGGGTGGCCTCGCAGTCGAGAATACAAAGGCTTCAACATCCCAAATTTGGTGTCCATGTTTGGAGGCCAACCGAATTGACCTAGCATCAGACCTAGCTGACCTAGCAGTTTTTTTATTCAAATTCGGTGTCCAATGGACGTTCAAAATCAGACCTAGCTGACCTAGCATCGTCGCTGGGCGAATGGGCTCTGACTTCTTGTCCCTAGCGACCCAGGCGCTCCTGGACTATTGCCGTGCGATAGGAGGACCGTGGGGGTGGCGCCCAAGAAGATGTTCATATGCAACATGTAGATCGGAGATTGAACTTCCTAACAACGAGATCAACAAAAAGTGTTCCTAAATGAATGGCAATCGATATTTGTATGACATACAACTAACAACCTTGTTGTTTTCAGCTATCTTCAGTGTTAAGGGTGCAGTTGCAATTTGCATTTTTTACAATTCCGTGCGGTATTAACGGCGTTTCGTAGTGCCTTCACGACCACTTGGGAGAGCGGTTTTGCACTCAGCACGCGGTCTTGCACTCAACCATGGATGCCTACACAGACGATGCATTTTTGAATGCTTTCATCATCTAACGCTTGGTACGTCCGAGTGGACGTTCCCACCTCAAACACAACCAACCACCGCAACCCGCGAACCTCAGTGCGGTGCCAAAGAACCGTGGTAGCGTTTCTTCAATCGGTAGCCAGAAAGGTGATTGGGACACTCCTGGTCCTGGGGCCTCCTCCTTTGCTTTTTTTTTTAAATATAGTTGCAAGGGAGGAAACGATCCATGATTTTGCGGTTTGGGGTGCGTGAAGAAAACAAGAATTGGTCTCTTGCATCGTGGGGTTTGTTTTCTCAACATGGCGATCCGGCTGCTTCTTTAGACCTTTGGAGATTTTGAGACCTTTGGAGAACAGGGAGTCTTGTGTTGTCTCAGTGCAGTTTCGTTGGTTTTGGCATGTTGCCACAGTTGACATTCCGGAGCTTTGGGGATTTATTTTATCCACCCCATCAGCCCATCAGATGAACAAATTGTTGCCATACCACAATGGTCCTCTAAATCTGGAAGGTGTCAGGCCAAAAGTACGTGAACGGCTTCTTAGGTTTTTTGTTGTATAAACTGGCGTTTCTGGGGCTTTGATGTAAAGAAAAGACATGCCGATTCTGTGGCAACAGGCGTCTGGCGTTGCTAAGCTGCTATCGAAAACTCCCAGCGCCCAAACAAAAAACGGATGAAGTTGCATTGTTTTAGCACAGGTGTCGAAGTTGGGAGGATTCCTCCCAGGCTCCCAGGCTCCCAGGGAGGTGTTTATGGACTGTTTTGTGTACCTTTTGCTTTTTTTCTCACGTCCGGTGTGAGCTCACGTCTCGATTCCACGACAGCGAGTGTGAAGCTAGCTCTGCAGGCTACGCCACCATGCGGCGAGCGCTCAGCAAGGCGAGTTCGTCCGTCCTCGGTCGACGGCGCGTTTCGGGTGGCCGGTGAACGGTTCGCGGAAGCCCCATGGGCCCCCCAAAAGCATGCGGAAACCAAGGAACAGTGGATGCACATCCATGGCAAATCTACTGTAAATCTCTCTCTCTCTCTCTCTAGTCCTACCATCCGGACTCTACGGGCCCCCCAGAAATGTTCGGCCGCCCAGTGTTGAACGGAGATGGTGAAGTCTGCCGGTCGGCTGGTTTTTTAGGTCTGCCAGGCCTTTTTTCGCTGAGCCCAGAAAAAAAGGTGTGCCAAAGATGGTGGAATACTTACTCCGTTTTCCGATGTTGTTTTCCTTTTTTGGGGAAACGGCATGCCGTCCTGCACGTTTTAGGAGAGGAAGTAGCAACCAAACATCCAAATCCCGGGTGGCTGGTGAAACCATCGGTCGGCGGTTGGGTCTCGTCCCTTTGGCCGGTGGGTTCAGGCTGACACGGCAAGCCTCCATCAGCGCATTGTCATTGGCAGGCGCGCTTTTGTGTGTGTATGTGACACTGCGTGTGTGTTGATGATGTTCTTGTTTCGTGGCGTCTCATGCAGATCCTTGAGGGGGTTGATAGATCCTTGAGGGGGCTGATTTGGCTTTAGACATCAAATGTGGTTCAGGACAATGTGTCATTGACAGGCGTCACGTGTTTTTGGTCCTGGAATATCCTGGATTATATGACTTTGATCGCTTTTGTATATCCACGGATCCACTGCCTTGTTGGCAGTAAAACTCCCTACTTCCAAAAGGACATGAGAGACGACTACAGACTTGGATTCAGTCTGCCCACTTCCTTTCTTCGATATTGATCAGGACAACTTCCTGAACGGGCATCCGACATTGACACAGCACATTGTGGTCCCAAAACCACTTCGAAAGACCACTGTTTGTGAACAATTTAAGGTATCCTTCCCTCAAATCACCTTCACTCTGTGTTTGATCAAAGGAATGTGAGCAGCTGGAAGATATGAGTCATCACGAGTCAAGGTGTGCTCATTGCAACTCATTGGTCCGCGAAAAAGAAAAAAAAACGAGCTCAGCTCGACACGGCACCATCGGCACCACCGGGGGTCCCCACCAGAGACCCATCGGCCGGAACCGCGTCCCTGGTGCCGCGACCGGTCTCCGCGACCGGTTCGGTGCAGCCGCAGATTCTTCAGTCACGTGGGAGAGTTTGCCGCGGCCAAGGAGGCGCTGCTACAAGCCAAGCTGCTGGGCAGACAAGCAATTTCATTTCAAAGATCGAGCGGTTGTTGCGCCCTGGTGAATGTGAATGTGTTTATAAATACTGGTTTTGGTTGGATGGCAAGACCTACAAGATGGCTTAGACAGGGCTGATCAGCAAACCTGAGGCCGGAACACATGGGAAGAGATTCTGTCCTAAATAAAAAAGTCATGCTCACAACTGGACTGCCTGGGATATTCTTGGTTGATCTTGGTTGTGTATTACATTGTATGAGGGATATCCCCAAAGACCCCCGCTGAAAGGAACCCAGGTGTTCAGGATGTAAAAGGAAGACACCTTTAGGGCTTAAGGTGTGCATACTAAAACATCACAACCACTTCTTCTTGCTTGGTTTAGAAGCATCCAAGATGCACGGCCACTCAAGGCGCCCCTCGGCCCCTTCAGTTCAAAGCCATTCTTATAAGGTCAATATACAAACAAAAGTGTATATATATATATACACCTAGAACCTGAGTGACCCCTGTTTTGGAGTCAAAACATGCTCTTTACCTATCAAAACAAAGGTCATATGGGTTCTAGGTGTATATATATATATAACTACGCTCAGTTGTGTGGGTCGTGCGGCCGCTGGTTGACCTAGTGACCCGGGTCATCGCCTCCAAACAACGATCGGAGGCGAGGGGGGCCCCTGGGCCACTGCGTGGTGAAGCGATCGGCTGAAAGCAACAACGGTCACATGGTCACATACAGTATTCGGCCATCTTCGACTTGCGGAAATCTGACTCCATCTGATTCCCTTGGCCAGTCGTGGTTGTTGAACCAGGTTCTGAAGGTTTCCCAAGTCTTCGAAAGTGAGAAGATCAGTGTGCAGATTTGATTATATACATGTCTCAGTGTGAACCTTATCAGCCCACCATGGAGGCGCAAAAAGATCGCTGTTTTGTTGCTTTGAGACCCATCTACGATTTTCTACAAGATTGTCATCGCGGACAATCAAGAACATATGTCACACAAGGAAATCCCGAACACAATCCTAGCATGGTATCCGTTTGATTTTGGCACCTTTTGCATTCTTCCACTGCATTCGGTATCTACTGTAAGGATAGAGCGCCCGGCGGGGCAAAAGAATCGTCAACCTTGAGAGGGGTGTGTAACATATGCTACAATGGATCAAATCCCACCCTACAAACTCTGCATGAGGAACCAAAAGTGTCCATTCTTCTCTTCGCGCGCATGCGAGGCCGGAGGCAGCAGCCAGCGAAAACCCAGCAGATTTGGGCCAGGTGGCATCAGCCAGGTTTGAATGGGTTGTAGAGCTGGATATGTTGTTTCTTTCAAAATATGGAGACTGGGGACTGGACATCTCCAAACAAGGATCCACTTGGAGTGAGTTAATGTGCCTTTCAGCAAGTGCTCCAAACTCGTGTTTTCTTTTGCAAAAAAGCCACGACGGTATTCTGCCTCAGCGCAAGTGTTCCGCATGGAAAGCCGTTTTGGAGTCTTACAGGAACTCCTCTTCCAAGCCTCGTAAGACGAACGAGGCCCTCCTGCGTTGGATTCAGATCACTTCCCCAGCCAGGTGTGTACCTTGATTGCCGAGAATGTGACTTGGACCGTTGCGGTTGGCTCTAAACCGTTCGAACCTGCAGGGGTCGAGCTTGAGACTGTTGAGCTTCTGGAAGTTGTGGTGCTAGAGCTACTCACAGTGCTGGTGCTGGTGTGGGTCGCAGGGGTCTTCAGGCTTTCGAAGGCGTCCACCAGAAAGAACGACCGATTCACTCGGCCGGGTCTTTCGGCGGCCGAAGGTCACCGGCAGTGGTCACAGCAGTGGTCACCGTTCGACCATCGACCCAGCTTAGGGGGAGGAGCTTGCGACCCCCACCAGGGGAGACCACCGGGCGTGTGGACGGAATTGGTGGAGGACCAACCGATCGGAGGTCAGGTGAAAAGTTTGAAACCTGACAGGTTTTCAGTGCAGGGTAGGTGAAGACCTGACCCTGGTCGTGGATCCGGTCGATGGGATCAACTTCTTAGGTCACCTGGATGGAATCCACTGGGTGGATGGAGAAGGGAACGATATAATGAAATGATCTCCATGTCAATGTCCATCTTGAAGCACTCGAGCTGACATTGGAATGGCTGCACGAAGATCCTGACATTCTCAAGTTCTGAATCAGGCCTCGGTCCAACAAAAGAGCATGGAAGCTCTGTGGATGGCGTGTTGCAAACGACCTTTTCTATAGATATGGAGACGGGGTTGCCAGGCAAAGGCACAGTTTGTCATTCAGCCATGACTTTAAAGGTAAGTTGCACCCCAAAGAAGGGGCAATCACATCAAAATTATTACTATATCAAGATGTTCTATTTGACCAATTTGCCTCCAGCCGACGTCTCTTCTCATCCGGGTCTCTTGAAAAGCTAGGTGCCACCGGGTCACCGTGGTCTACTCTACTGGTGCTCGGAAAAAAAAGGAAAAACGACTCCGATTGAGGAGATCCGCTACTGGGACTCCTTGCGGAACTGGGGCTCTCCTGGCGCCTTAAAGGACCTCATGGAGTGCTCCAGCCACTCGAAGGCAGGTGCAGCGGTGCACAAAAAGCCAGCACATCTTCCTGCGAGATGGATCTGGATGGACCAGGGTTTATCATGCTTTTGCGGACGACTTTTTTGAGATCCGTAAATGTGGGGTCAAACTTGGCAAGTCTGCTCAGGTGACAAAGATGTTTGATATGGAAAACGCATCCATCATTCAACGGAAAGTAGCCTTGATGGTGATTGGTTCACTGGCCCGACAAATCGTTTCGTACGCTGCATGGATCGGGATCGAGCACAATCAGCCGCAGGCGCCTTTTTAACCACTGTGCCTCTAGGATGCCCCGGTCCTTGGGTTGCTTTCTTAGGCTGCCGGGACTTTCCGGAGACGGCAGGGCGCGCAGATCTTCAATATAGGCAGATACAACTTGGGTGGACTTCTAATATAGGGTTTCGACATCCACGGGATTGTTTGTTGATCTTAAACATGGGGGTTTCGAGATTTTGTTGCGCGCGCCTTTCATGGTCATCACTGGGCCCAATCGCTCGCCCGAGCACAGCCTCGGTCCTAGCGATCCAACGGGACCAAATCGATCCAACTCGCCACAGCCAGTGCAAATATGGCTGTGGCTCACAGAAGACATCATGCCCCCGCAACTACCCACTGGTCAAGGAGAATGACCTGCAGCTGCAGAGTCCCTGACTCTGACTTCTTGAGCCACAGGGCCACATTTCAGGGCCACATCCCCAAAATAAACGATCCAACAATCATATGACAATAGTCATGAACGATCCATTCCTTCTCTATTTTTCATTGGCAGCTCCCAGGCTGCTCCAAAACTCATCTGCGGTGGCGAGGGGCGGCACGCCCAGGAACTGCCGTGGACATCTTCCGTCGTGAGCTGGAGCGGTGTGACCGCATGAGCACGCGGGTGGAGTATGCTCAGGCACGCCCAGAGGAGGAAGCCAATCAAAGTGAACATTGGACGTTTGAGAAGGGGTCAATGAGATCATCATCATCATCATCATCATCATCATCATCATCATCATCATCATC